GGAGAAACATGTATTAAACAAATATTTGCAAAGTGTAACTCAGGTTTCTGGAGTTCAGAGACCCGCCACCGCTCACAGTCCTGGGAGCTCTTCCGCCTCTTCCACCAGATCCCTTCTGGACTCTTTGTTTCATTCCACTAACTTTTACTCCTTAGGTGAAAATTCTGTTTCCAAACTCTCAAGCAATTCAATCACTCAAGGAACCAGAAGACTTGTTAGCGAATGTCCCTCTTGATACACACCACCTTCCTTCCATTTCCACCTCTCTGCAGGCACCTGAGATGCTGTTTCTTTGTGAGGGAGAAGCAGGAAGCCATTCTAGCTTCCTGTCACAGGCTTCCCACTGCTTCCTGCATAAAAGCCAGGTTGATTTTACGTTGGACTTTCAATGGGTTTATTGGAGGGTGCCAGCCCTTGACACACCAACAGGAAACAAGTTTGCAGTGTTGGTAGGGAAATTAAAGATGAGACTCTTGCTACTTGCAAGTTAACTTAAATTCTTTAGCAGAACACACACACACACACACACACACACACACACACACACACACACACGGAAGCTTTTACAGTGGCAAGAAATAGTAAAGCATGACACAGTTTCTGGCAAAGAGAAGCTGTAGAAAATTCTGACTGCGGCACCCAGATTGTCACCTTTTGATGCTTTTTCTTCCCATCTCAAAGTAGACTGTTATTGCACTGACTTTTTTTCTTATTAGAGAACAAATTACACAATTTTAACAATGTTAATTCTCAATCAAATTTCTTCATTGATTTTTATACCTGCTACATTACTTTAGCCCATACACCAATAGATTACCATTGATTGCTGTGAAACCTGTTACGGCAGTTTTCTTAGCACTTATATTTCACTCATTTATTTTTAAATTTATTTCTCAACATTATGTAAGAAAATGCTGTGGAATGTTTTCAAATAAAAAAATCAAATGTGTAGAGTAGGAACACCAAAGAATCTAGATTTGAAAAATATTAACGTCTTGCCATGTTAATCTCAAATGATATCCAGTCCCATGGAGGCACATTACAAATGCTATTGAACCTTTTCTATAATTCCTATGTTACTCTTTCTAGATGATATCATCATATCATCCTTCCATTTCATGCTTAAAATTAATATCCATTGTCCATTATCACATTATCACGATGTAAATAATATTTATAATGTGGTCCCCCAGGATTGTGTTTCTTTTCTTATTTGATTTTTGGATATTCCTAGAGATAATGGCCTTGTTAAAAACAATTTTCTTGGAGAGAAGGGCAGAGTGTTTTGCCTAGTGAGTTTACAGAAATGTTTTAGCACTTAGAATGTTGCCTGGGATAGGGTTCATGACATAATATACCCCCAATACAGTACCTTGACATACTGAATTTGAGTAATAGCATGGACAACAAAGGACTTCTTGCCCTTTCCTTATCATCTCCGCTGAAGCAGGTGATATAAGAAGTGGAAGGACCTTTCCCACGGTCATACCTGTGGGACTAGAACATCCTCCTCTGCCTAGAAAAAGGGTACAGAGAGAAAGTGGAACAAGCAAGCCTGGCTACACTTAGCCATGACTTCCCTACCACAGTTTACTGTAATTCTTCTTTATTTGTATTTGTATTTATTTATTTAATTAATTAAACCCAGGTACATAACCACTCAGTTTCAACTATTCTCTCAGGACTAAATTGCTTTGTGGAGATTTTTATGTCACTCCAAAGTTAGTATTAGATTGGTATGGTAGCATAGACCTGTACTGTCTTGATGTCCAGCTCCTCATGAAACCTAAGCAAGGGAATTAGGTGAGACCAGGACTTGGAAACCAATCTGGGTAGTGCAGAGAGTTCTATCTTAAAGAGAATAAAAACCAAGCAAAACTAAGGCTCAAAAGGTACATCTTCTGTTGAATAACTATAATGCTTTTCTGTTATTAATCTTTCTTTTGACACAGAGGTTTCATCAAATGTCCATGGTCGACAGAAGGGAAAGATATTTCCCTTCCCTTTATCTAGGTCAGAGATGGCACTAGATATGCTCTTATTGAGTGGATTACTAGATGACTGAATAAGTAAATGGTTTTAATCTTACTTACTATGATTTAGAGAACACTAAAAGCCTTGGTATTTGCTTAGCTGTCCTGACTCTCTTCTCCACACTGTTTTTTCTTGGTCCTGGCATTATAGCATCACAAATACACTTTATTTTTCATGTAGGAAGCTACTCTCTTTGCTTTGATTCACATATACATGCACTTTATTGAAGGAGGGATTTTTAGCTGCAACTGTTGGCTATTATATTGATCTGGATTTCCACATTGCTCTGTTCATCTCTGATATTAACATCTAACTATTTATTATATCTGTCAACATTTAGAATGTCAATATCTATAGAGCAGGGATCTTTTTATACTTCTCACTGCTGGTACTATTAGGTAAAGAATAATTATTTGCTGTTCTCAATGAGGATACACACACACACACACACACACACACACACACACACACACACACACATTTATGTTGGTAGCCAGAAACAAAAACTTTAATTTTTCCCATTTGAAAGTCTCTTCAAGTTCTATACTGTCTACATGATAAAACGTAAAATCCTTAGTCAAAGAGCCTGTTCCTGGGCTGTTCCAAAATGTATAACACTTTTGATTTATATAATGCTCCATCATTTTACAACAGGTGGTGTGGGAAGTCCTTCTGTCTATGTGTTGCTTTTATTACTTAATGAATAAAGAAGCTGCTTTCATCCAATGGCTTTACAGAATATAGCTAGGCTGGAAAAGATATATAGATAAAGAAGGCAGAGTCAGGAGACGCCATGTAGCCGCTGGAGGAGAAAGATGCAAACTGCCAGTTGAAACCTTGCCTACTTGATTTTTACTCATTATCTCTCCCCAAACTGTCTGCTTGATTTTTACCTTTCATCTATCCCAAATTACTCAACCTCACAGCAACAAGAATGCTATATAAGAACACAACATTTACCATTCTGCTGCATCCACTGAAATTCTTGCAATGGCTCTCACTCCTGACAATTCAATACTGAAATCGTAAGCATAGTCTCCTAGCAGGCATTGGATCTTGCTTTGTACTTTTCTGAAATCTGACAATATTCTGACATCTTTTACCTTCCTATGTGCGTTGCCTTCTAGGTCAGGAATGACTTCTTCCTGCCACTTGCTAGAAACTAGTATTTATCACATAAGTAATTTTTCTAGAAAAATATTTTGTGATCACAACTTTAAGTTACTTATTCTCTAATATTTCTCTAATATTTTCATTTTATCTGCTATTCTTTTGCCTATTTTGCATTATTTGTCAGTGTGTGCGTGCGCAATGGAGAACTGTATTCATGGAAAAAGGACTAACCATGCAATACTGAGTTACAAGAGTTTGAAAATTCAGCATTAATATAATTTGAAATTAGAAAAAATAATGAATCAATGGAAAGAAAACATCACCAAATACTGCACCATACCAAACTAACAGAAAGCTAATTATAATATGTTTTTCTTGTAGGCAATTTTAATTTTGTGTGTGTGTGTGTGTGTATACCTATTATAATTCATCTACTCAAAAAAATACATTTTGTTTTAATGCGCAGCGCTGAGTCAACTCTGGAATGCCTACGAACATCAGAAGGCTTGCCTAATGATTAAAAACAGGACTCAATGCTACCACTAGGCACTTGGATGTTTTATTAAATCTTTTTAGGAAAGAGAAATCGTCTGTATAAATATCACTCACTAATAAAGAGTCTTAGTGTGAGCAAGCCTCAAAGGGCTCCTGATCACAGCATTTTTCTAATCAGGGCTTTGATGTAAGCTGGTACAATGGCCATGGGTAATCATTTATTCAATGAGGGAGGGACTTAAAAATGATGATCTTATGACCTATCTTCTAGGAATTCTGTGCTAAAACCCCTCTTAATACTGGAGCCACTAGACTTATCCCAGGTGGTTGCTCTTTCGGGAGGGCTTTTTCAGCCTTCCTTTAATTATACTAAGATATGGAAGACCGTTTTCAAGCAAATATACAGTACATTTTGAACATATTCTATCTCTATTCTTACTACCCCCTTTGTTCCTCCTCCCCTTCTCATTGGTCCTATATCTTTCCCTACACAGTGCTGCTTTTATGTTCATGATTTTATGCATATATGATTTTATGTTTCTATAAAGTCTAAGACCCACAAATGAGAATGTATGTGCAACCTTTGTCTTTATATTTGATTCAGTTTGTTTGATATAGTTATCTTTACATACATTCATTGTATTAATCGTGTTTGTATATTTTTCCTTTCACACTAAACTATGAGCTTCTTTAAGACAGAAAGATAATATTAATTTCTGTGACTTTGTTTCATTTTTAGGCAAATATGCACATTGAGTATATTGATGATAGGTTGGCAATAGGGTTGTGGGGACTTGGACTTCAGTTTACTTTTGGAAATATTGAAAATGAATGTAGAGTATGGATTGAACACTATGGCATACAGGAGTAGGTTTTGAAATAAAGATCATAAATTCAACCAAATTCAAATAAATAAACAAGGGCAGGCCTATCTTGGCCTTTGCCTGCATTGCTTAAAAACAACAATGTTTACTGAGAAACTTAGGGGTTCAAAAAGGAAAAAAAAAGAAAGAAAAAGATACAATTTTTTAGCTACTAAAAAAAAACCCTTTTGTTCTTGGATTTGTGTTGTATGTTCATCTCTTAATAGGAAGTTCATGGTCTACTTAGGAACATGGAAGATGTTCTGAGAATTGGCTAAGTGTGCCCAGTAGACAACCAAGAGTTCTGTTTGGGACTCAGGATGGAAATCAGGCAGAACAGCCTTGCTTTGGGAAGGCTTCTGTTTCCAAGGGAAGTCTTTGAACCCTAGACTATGTTCAATGAAAGCTCTGTGGAGGCATGCCCCTTTCCTCTTCACAACCGCATGACTTCTGGGCTGGTTTCGGAGGAATGTGCAGACACTGTGACATAAGTACCTGTCAGGTCATCGGTGGGCCAGGACCCCAGCTGGCACGCCTTGCAGGTGTACTCATCAAACACGTACTCATTCTCTTTACAGGGCGTGCATGTCCAACAACAGCTTACTTCTCCCTTCCGGATCACCTGAGGGGAAGATTTGAAAATATGATTAATGGTGCTGCATAGAAACTAAACCAGATTCTTCTTGTTCAAGCGTTTTCATTTTTATAGAGTTTCCTTCAGACAAATGATTAGTGATTCATAAAATGTAAGGCACTAAAATATGACCTATTTTTATTAGTCACATATATATGCACACACACACACATACATATATATATTTAAGAAAGGAGAATTTCATTTTCAGGGTAATCTGAAGTACTCTTAGATAATTGTTAGATTATGTAACATAAGTAGTTTTATTTAAAATAATGAGACATTCTTTTTAGACCTTTACAGGGTTGGCAAATTTAAGACACTGAGTTTTTCACCCTTGAAATATGCTGACAGCCTGTGGCTCATTTTTCATTCATTATGAATGTCAATATTTTGCCTATATAAATGCATTCATTTTTCCAAGAATAATTCCCATGTAAGCCTCCTTGAATCATGACAACTTGATATATGTTCTTTAATCATTCAAAACCAATTTGGTTTAGGCTTTTTGCGTGTTCTGTTTTGATTCCCATCCTCACTGATGACAAGACACAGTGGCAATGGTCTTTCCTAGCAGCTCTGGCTGTGAACAGACTGGAAGGAAAGGTGTTTTCACTGTTCCTGAAAGGACGCCAAGCCTCCATGGAAAATCAAGTTCATAAATCTCGGGACAATGCCAGGAGGCGTTACTATGGTGGAAGGTGATCCATTACTGCTTTAAGAGATACTAAGAAAATGATATCAAATGTTAACAGCATAGAGAGGAAATAAGATCTACAGAGAAAACAATTTGAAAATGAGTAACCAAGCAAATACATAACCAATGTTAAGACTATGGTGACAGGGAACCAAGCTCTACCATTGTATTAGTACCATCCCATGCAACATGGTAGAGAAGCAGGCCAAGAAATAGCTGTTAAACTATTTCCTGTTGTGAGGAGGCTGCTTGTTGTTTTCCGACTGCTTAGCCCTGAAATAATCACACAGAAACTTTATTAATTAAATCACTGCTTGGCCCATTAGATCTAGCTTCTTATTGGCTAACTCTTACATATTAATTTAACCCATCTCCTTTAATCTGTGTATTGCCACATGACTATGACTTACCTGCTAAAGTTCTGGCGTCTATTTCCGACAGGGTTACATGGCTTCTCCCTGACTCTGCCTTCCTTCTCTCAGAATTCAGTTTAGTTTTCGCTGCCTAGCTAAGTTCTGCCTTGCTATATGTCCAAAACAGTTTCTTTATTAACCAATGAAAATCCCACGTAAGTTTCTATGTCTTAAAATTATATTTATTTTGTTGTTCTTGTTTATCTTATGTCTAGCCTTAGTTTCCATAATCTTTAGTGCTCCTGCTGAGTACCTAAAGATCAATGTTAAAATATTTCTGTTTGCAATAAGATCTCAAAAACGTAAGTTAGAGTGAATGTAGGGTTGATTGAAAAGATTAAAGGAAATTTAAGTATTCTGCATGCCTGAGATGGCAATGCTTTCTTGATAAGGAATTAAACTATTTCAATATCATTTTCTTCCCCCAATATATTATGTTTCAATAACCAACTTTCCCTGTTTTCTTAATTATGTTTTTATTTCATCTTCGTTGATGTTTTTTATTTCCTGGATTGAAAACTAGTAATCTCAGAGCAAATTGTTTTTATCTGCTTTACTCCACATACTCTATTACTGTATTTTGTCCATTTGGTTGCCTTCTCTCCCAGAAGATCCAGAGGAAGCGATAATTTTCCATCTTCATCTCTGTTCCTCTTTCTTCCTCTTCCCTAGCCTGTCTTGTGTTGTCCACCATGTTGACTGACAGCATTTCTCCACTGTCTCCCTCTCTCTCAGAACTGGCTCTCCCCAACCTCTTCCCCCTTTATATCCAAAGTCTTATTTTTGGTGTCCACTATTATTATTACTTTTTTTGAACTTTCAGGTTGAGCATTTTGAATCTACTCAAACAGTGTCAATTTAAGCTTTAATTAGTTTATTCTTAAATCCAGATCATTGGCCTTATATATCTGATTTCTTTTTACTTCTTTTCTAGATCAATTTTCCTTTCCTTGTTATATCAAAAATCAACAAATCTTGAAACCAACCCATCTACTTTCCTTTCAAACCACTTCTCTTTTTGGTGTGTGTGTGTGTGTGTGTGTGTGTGTGTGTATGTTCATGAACATACCAGAAATTACAAGAGTCTGTTCTTACTTCCATAATGTGTGTCCTGTAATTAGGAGTTCTCCTAAGTAACTTATTTGATGAGCTGTATCTTAGGTATTCATTTTTCTTTCATTTATGACAATGGTACTCTTTGTTGCTAGGACTTGGAATTGCAGTTGATTTTCTCATATTTTGCTTTTCTTTCCTGACCCAATTTTTAATCAGCATCCGGTACTGAGTGATTGTAGCTCTGCAAAGCTTTTATCCAATTTCATTTCTGCTTCCATTTTGACTCTTATTGTTCATTTCCCTGTCACCACAGTCAGCATCCTGTATTTTAACTCTTATTTCCTGTTTCATCTTCCGTAAATCTACTTACAGGGGCCAATACGTGTCAACATTTTAGTCACTATTAACTATTATTTTTGCCATAAAATGTAGGTATAATATTGAAGACAGTTCATAAAAATTGCCTTTATCTGTCATTTTAATGTTTTATTTCCTAATAACTACTTATAGCAATCATTTATGGACTCTCAGCTATTCAACGTCATTCTAGTGTCCTATCTGTTACCTTGTCTATTGCTGGTTCCCATATATTTGTGATCTTTCCTTGAAATCATACCCAGTTTTATAGTCTGATACTTGAAATTATATTCATAAAAGCTTATATTCCTATGATTTTTTTCCTTTAAAGAAGCCATCACATTATCAAAATATTGCTTACCTTTCATGTATTTTTCCTCATTCATATTGAATCTACTGATGAAGACATTACATTTTCTCCCTTGGATATTAATCAATTATTACATTGAGATTTTGATAGCTATTTGTTATACATGTTTTCCAGCTCTAAACTACTTATTCTTAAGAATCATTATCTTTAGAAACATTCATATGCAGAAAGGGTGAGTAGATCAAATACGACTTCTCAATTGAATTAATGAGCTCAGATTAGCTACCTAGACTCTTATGAGTTGAATGCTAGGCTTCCTAAAGAATTGATCAGAATAAAGTAAAAAAATAAACTCATTTTCTGACATTATGAGCTTACAATATAAAATATAAAACAAGTGACAAATAAATGAAGATATATACAATGAGAGTAAATACTGTTAAATTTGAAGCAATTAAAGGAATGTAGGTTGTATATTACCTTTATCTGGCCTTTCTCACATGGTTCGCTGCACACAGATCTGATGATATTATTTTTCTTGGACCATACTTCATCATCATCCATTTTTAATTCTCCATTGTCCCAACTTCCAACATTGATGTAATCAAAATAATCTTTTCCCATTTCCTTGAAATTCATTATTTCATACCTTAGAAACAAAATATAATAATTATTTAGCTAAGGCCATAGATACTCATATATGCAAAGGCAATAGTTTAATTCTCCCAATACATCTATTGTTGTGCAAATCATACTGAAATTTTATGTAACAATATGTTTAGAGTAACAAAATTCTTTCTACTTCATTTTCATCTTGGAGGTCTATTTTTAAAGTCATGCTTATACCTGAAAAACAAAATCCTATGTGAGAAAGTGACTGGAACTCAGGAAGGATGAAAGACAGTTTTGAAAGAACTTCAGGAATTTTAAACATGAACTTTTGTTGGTTTACAAGGAAAAAAAATCAGGGAGTTGTTTAACTTTGTTCAAGCGACCTGCTGAAAAGTTTCCTTATTCACTGTGAAATTTATTTAATCTTTGAACTCATTTTTGAATGTTAGAAATTCAACAGTACTTTAGAAAGAATCCTTCAGTGACATAAAGGTTTGTTTTATGAAGCATTGCAGTTCCCATTCACTTTTTTTCTTCCAGTTGGTGCACAAACCAAAGACCTCTTGCGTTGGAAGGCGGGAAGAGCCTGGACTTTGAGAAGTGTCTTAGTTTCACTGTTTTTAGTTGTTATTTCAGCTTTTAACTAAAGTTATGGAAAGTTTGTGAATTAAACAGATTAAATTTCTTTCAAAAAAATGAACAGGTCTGATTTTGCCTTTATTTTAGGTAAATTTATTATGTAGAGATAATTTAAGGGGTATTTAAAAAAAAAACTGAAACTAGTTTCAAAAGCACCGAAAAATTCTGTCAAGTAGACGAGCTCTCAGGTTTTCTTTGCTATTGTTCTCATTTTGAGTCTAGGGACAAAGACAGAAGGCGAGGAAAGCAATTGTCAAGCCTTTTCTTTTGTTTTCAGGAAAGTATTCATGAAACAGTTTTCCAAACAGAAATCTTTCAAGGAACCCTCAACAGCCTTGCATATTCCTACAGGTTGCCCTTGCTATGCGTTGCCCTCACATAATGCACTATACTTCATACTTTCCAGAACTTTCAATACAGACAGGCAGATAGTGTCGTGAATGTTCCCTCTAACTTCCCATACTCAGCATGTTTAGCTATTTGAAAATGGGTATAGATTTATAGTTATGCCTACCAAGCTGACATACTCAATCCGGTGATCTTGTAAAAATACAAAGAATGAACTGAATCCACCTACCGAAATAGTGTTGTAAAGTGATTCCATTCTCTATTTGCTGCTGATTAAAATTCATACTTGCAGTTCTATTTTCAGGGTTAACCTAGTCCAATACTCTGTTGGTCGTTCAGTAACTGTGGGATTCTCTTGCATTTCTTTTTATTTACCATCTTTATTTGAGCATTTTCCTAAGGATACTTCTTCCACACTGTCAGATTTAGCCAGTGGTTAAAGTTACTAAATATGCAGTGGCTCCAGGAGTTAGAACAGAGAACAGTGATTGGAAAAAGAATTCACGTATTATGTCACTGGCTACTTCATACACACAGGCTTCTCAGTCTTGAAACATGACTTTTTGCAACAAAAAACCTTTGAACACCTAGTCTGAGAGAAATGTCGGTATCTGGAGACTTCTTGACTACTGATGATTTGAAGAGATATAAGAACTCAATTGCTCACAAAAATGAACCAAAACACCGTTTCTTCCAATTCTCAGTCTTGGAACTGTCTAGACTTAGCTATTAATTTTATAGATAATGGAACTGAAGCTCACTGAGATTAATTGTTATGACCAGTTTGCATAGAACACAGATGTCAGAGCCAGGACCTGAAGCAAGCATTTATATTTTAAATCTACTGTTTCTTCTCGTTAGATTAGTCCTGATCTATGTCCCATTACCTTAGTTTTTGTGAAAGAGAGCCTAAAAGGTAAGGAGATGCAAGGTTTGAAAACTGAAAAACTCTGTGGAATGACAAATATCACATTGACAGTGAGTCACTTGAAGAAATACTTATTTACTTTTAATTTTCTTTTAATTCATCAAACTGCTAGAATTGACCCAGAGACTATGAGTCTTCCTTTGGAAAAATAATGAGCCTTTTTTTGTTTTTATACAAGATAACAACAACAACAACCACAAAGATCCTATCAACAACTGCTTATCTGTGAACATGTACTATCACCGTAGCCATTCTTCATCAGCTGTGTACCAAACAGAAGTTGAAAGAGATAGGAATAATTCTCCATGCAAAAATTCTCCAAAAAGCAAAAAGATTGTTTTTTTTCTGAATAGAAATGAGACTTTTAAACAACACTCACAAGGGGGATGTAGATTTCATTCTTCCCCAAAAGTGAAAAAGCAATGAGCATCTCTAATACATCCTTATTGAAATTTTAGGTGAAAATTGAAAAGTTAGTGATTTTCTATAGTGTTAACCAATTACGTAATCAGGGAGATTTTGTTCCATTTTCCAAAATAATCAGTAAATAATTCAGTATATCTATTATTGATAAATTTGGTGAAGATCTCAGTTACAAAACAGTATTAGAAACAAATATTAAAGTGCTATACTCATTACAGGACCCTACTAGGGAGACTTTATTACTCTCTGCTTGGTCCCTCTTTTTCTCCCTCTTCGCCAACTCCTTCCTCTAACACCTTTCTCTCACTCAAGTCTCTTGAATTCTGTATCATCCAGTACAATTTTTTCCCCTTATCACAATGTGCCACTATGAATGATCTGTCTTTTTACTGTCCTTTTTATTTTTCCCCTTTTCTTGGTACCTTCACAGTTGTCTCTTCCCAACTGGCTCCAGGAAGTATCCTTAAGAAAAGCTGAAAGCAATTTTATATAACATTCAAAACCAAAAGTGAAATCTAAAAAAGTATTCCAACAAATCCCACTTAAGCCCTAAATAGAAACCAGAGTAGTTCTGTTGTAGAAATCAGGGAATTTCCTAGTGCTTTGCTGAGACTCAGATTTCTATCCAGGAAATTAGCAATATTTATATAGAACTTCTGTTTACTTGTGACACTTTATCCCAAATAGTAATGCATTAGGAAGTCCCTCGGTGCCACCCATTTTCTGCAATTTCTATTGCTCTTTGTCTTGTCTTGCCCCATGTGTTTTTATCTTTCTATTTCTAAGTTTCTGTCTTAGTTCAGGTGAATCTTTACTAAATGTCTTTATTTTCTTTGTATCACTTTCTCTTCATTTTAAAATCCTCCATGGTTGCTTAAGGGAGTACAGAATGCTTTTTTTATTTTACTTAGAGTCAATATTTGATCTCTTGATGAAAATATAGTATCACTGCCCAATTATAACTTTATATTACTTTCTTTTACATGGTTATTACCCAATATTTTACATTCACATACTCATATACTCTACTGCAAACTAATGTTGATTTATATAATCACTTGCATTCCATTTACCACATGCTGTCCATCTTATGTGTGAAACTACGGTCAACACAGGCAGAAGTCAAACCTCTTAAGAGCAGTTTCCTGATCAAGTTTCCAAGCCAACTGCTGTTCTTAAGATTAGATGTTTTAGGCTTTGAAATGGTATCTAAGCACCCAGTGGTGATGGGGATTCCCCTTTGTATGCTGTGAATACCATTGGTGAACAAAGAAACTGGTTTGGTCTGTTGATAGGGCAGAACTTAGGTAGGCAGGGAAAACTAAACTGACTACTGAGAGAAAGAAGGGCAGAGTCAGAGAGAAGTCAGGTTGTCCTGCCAGAGACAGATGCCAGAACTTTACCCGGTAAGCCAGAGCCTCATGGCGATACACTGATTACTAGAAATAGGTTAAATTGAAATGTGTTAGCCAATAAGAAGTTAGAGCTAATGGGCCAAACTGTGATTTAATGAATACAGTTTCTGTATGGTTATTTTGGGTCTGAGCTGCCAAGCAGCAGGAATGACCAAATGGCCTCCTCTACAACATAGTACTATTAATAAAGTATATACGTTACAGTGCATCTCTATAGATAAATGTTACTGTGTACTCCAAAGTTTATTATTGCAGACTTGACTTGGCTTGCAAACTCTAATTTTTCAATCTGTGACCTACATTGGTAAAGGTTCATCCTCTTTTTCTTTTTCTATTTATTTATTTTCTTTCTTTCTTTCTTTTCTTTTCTTTTTTTTTTTTTTTTGGACAGGGTTTATCTGTGTAGCTTTTTGGAGCTTGTCTTAGAACTTGCTCTGTATGCAAGGTTGGTCTTAAACTCACAGAAATCTGCCTGCTTCTGTCTATCCAGTGCTAGGATTAGAGGTATGCACCACCATTGCCCAACTACGGTTTACACTTCTTACATGCAATTTTGAAATCCTCAGAATTCTGAATACCATATTTTTTAAATAACTCACTGGGAGCATAGCATAAACCTACCTATAATTATCTCAGGATAAAACCTAACAGTTATGAAATTATTTATAGTTCATTAATAGAGCAAAGTGTCGATGTTTATATGTTCTGGTATAGAAATGTCAATGTGTTAATTAAGGATTGCTGGTGCACAGCACATTGGGGCATTATATTAATGTAAACTTTTATAAATTCAAAATTCTAGATTCTATAGCACAGCTAGATCAAAACTTTTTAGTTAAAGCATTATAGCTTAACAGTACTCTCATCAGAAATATGACTAACAAATAATAACCAAAGAGTGATCTTAAATAATCTTAAAGGATATGTCAGAATTGATTCCTATATCTTATGATTTAGATATAAAATGTCCTCCATAGGCTAATGAATTTTATCACTTGGTCCTGGTGATTGAGATATTTTGGAAGATTGTGGAAACTCTAGGAGGCGGGTGTTAGCTGGAGCACAAGGTTTACCTGAAAGCAGGCTTTACGTTCACATACTGGTCCTGCTTCTTGTCCTCCCTGTATCATGAGCAAGAAGCCTTTTGTTCCTGTTCCTACAACAGTGAGAGATTATGACTACCCTGCTCTGCCAATCATGATGGATTGCACCCTCAAATCCTTTCTCTTTTAAGCTTATTTGTCAAGCATTTTGTCATAGTTATCAGAAAATTCACCCAGAGAGAAAATTGATAATGAGAAGTGGGTCATTACTATGACAACCTGACCTGGTTCTTAAGCATTCAAAGGAGGTTTATGAGAGGAGCGTATAAGAGCTGGGATTTGTGAAAAGTAGAGAACAACAAGAAACTCTGGAGAAAGTTTGAAAGATCACAGGGCCAAGAGAAATGTGGATAACACAAACTACGATAATGAGGTTTTCAAAGGGAGACAAGGTTGTCCAGAATTGGGTTACTAGCCATTCGGGTTGAATGCTGGTAAAGACTCTGGCAATGTCCTGAATAATTTAATTTGGATGAATTCCAAAATAACAAATTTAGTTGTATGGAGAGAGGAAGGAAGAACTTGTGGTGATGAGGATTCCGCTAAAAAGCCAGAGTTATGAGACGATACTGCATATTATAACGTCAAACCTGTAGGCAGGCTAGTCTCTGTTCCTAGTTTATAGTAAGAGGGAGCAGAAAATTATGAAAACAGTGTAGTCTGGTGAGGAAAATCTTGCATGTGTGTTAAATTGCAGGCAGAGTGGACAAAGTGGACTTGGATCAAGTGACTCTATAACACTGAAGGTATCAGGTCTCCTAAGGATAAACCAAAACCTTTGCAGTGGAAAAGGTGACCTAGCAGTAGGACCCACCAGAATATAATAATGATAGCTAGCACCAAGACATAGCAGTGGAAATTTGTTTTAAAAACTTTTATTTAAGAAAAGAGTGCCTGAAAAAAGAGAGGCTCTTAGGTATTGTACTCAAGCTACGCCCCAGGAAGTGCTTTCTCAGGGTCAGCCCAGTGGCTAACCGGAGGCCATTAGAGTTATGGTCCAGATGGGGCTTCAAAATCCTCCCACCACAGGTACAAGTTAGTTCCTGCACCGTGCATTCTCTATCATGATGGAGTAAATGCTCCAACCGAGAGTTGAAATAAATCATCCCTCCTGTACATTGCTCCAGTCAGGCATACCATCACAGCACTGAGAGCAGTTATTAGCACACCGTTGTCTTCCTTTCTCTGTCTCAGATCCTCTCATGACCCTGTTGATTTAGTCATATCCCTCACTGCCTCAGGCTCATCTGGATCTTTTCTTAGCTGGGAATCCCTTTAATTCAGTGTAGAAGATATATTTTTTTTTCCTTACAAAACCTAATAAAATTCCTGCAAAAATACATTTCTAGGAAAATATATTCCTATATATGGTGGATTGTATGTCTGGTTTGTAAGGTTAGGTATTGAAGCCTGGGGTACTAAAACATTAATTTTCTAATCTATATCTCTGAGTAAATCACAGTTATTTAGGTTTTTTGGGGGGAGGGGGAAGTGGGGGTTCTGAGACAGGGTTTCTCTGTATCTTTGGAGCATATCCTGAACTAGCTCTTGTAGACCAGGCTGGCCTCAAACTCCTGGAGATCCGCCTGCCTCTCCCTCCCGAGTGCTGGGATTAAAGGCATGCACCACGACCGCCCAGCCAGTCATTCAGTTGTGTGTGTGTGTGTGTGTGTGTGTGTGTGTGTGTGAGAGAGAGAGAGAGAGAGAGAGAAAGAGAGAGAGAGAGAGAGAGAGAGTTTTCCATATTGATCAAGTGAAGGTCAGGGGGACAAAAGCCTTGGGTGTTCATCCTTGGCATCCTGTAGTCATTATTGTCTTCAGTAGTGTTTGAGACAGTTTTTTTTCTCTCTCTCTGTCTCTCTCTGTCCCTGTCTCTGTCTCTGTCTCTGTCTGTCTGTCTGTCTCTCTCTCTCTCTCTATCTCTGTGTGTGTGTGTATGTGTGTGTGTGCGTGTGTGTGTATGTATTCTAGGTTGGCTAGCCCATGGAATTCCCAGGGCTTCTCCTCTTTCCTCTTTTCACAGGAGAATCTTTGCAGGTATTGATACATCTTTCCTTGGTAAGCTTTATATGGGTTTCAAAAATTCGACCTCATGTCTTCAGACTACTTAAGTTCAGAACCATGAGCCCTCGCCATAGCACTATTTACCCCTTATAAATCTCATTTCCTATATCTAGAAAAATACAAATATTGCTTACTTTATATAATTAAAAAATTAGCATTTTTAGTGTGTATTCTGAATCACACACATTTGGTAAATGTTAGTTATAGTTATATTTTTGCAGATTGGTCTCATTGTGTTGCCCAATTTGGTTGTATGTACATTCTATGTGCATATTTATATATTATTATTATTAGTCAAAGAGTTCAGTATAAACACTGTATATATGAACTAGGTGCATTGACAAAACAAAACGTTGCAAAGTAACTCTGCTAATTATTGTTTAATTAGATACCTAAATTTAACAGTGCTTGGTTAGACTCCAAGTGCACACTAATTCGTAAAATTTGTTTGCAATAATATGCATTTTATTATTGAAGAAATATCTAGAATTTCATCAGTCTTGGAGAGATTTGAAAAGGGGTGAAGAAACAGTGTTCCCAAGATAACTCTTAGGAGAACTGTCAATGAGGCAGTGATGGTTTGCCTAATTCATTAAGATTTCTCACAAGGTTGGAGCAGAGCCACCTGAGACAATTCCTCCTCATCTGGTTTGCGGATCGGGCCCGGACACATAACAAGAAAGCTCTTGAGATGATGATGTTGCCATCACCAATCTATTACCAGGGGCCGGGGTAACATCAGTGCTGTAGTTTACACAAGAACATTAAATCCATGCCCAGGAATCAGAGTTTAAGCTTAATACTGAGATGTACAGTACATGTGAAATTTCCTTTGGTACGTAGAAGCTATTTCTGCTTCCCCAAAGTGGGCATGCAGAAGATTCCCAAAGCAGAAAACAGTAAAAAGCCAGTCACTTTTGCAAATATCTGGGCTAGTCTAAAACCCTTCAAGTCTCTAGAATACAGGATATGTCGAGCTTTTCACTTGGCCGTGATAACTAGATCTAGCTGCCTGTCACTTGGCCGTGAAGCTTGCGCAGTGCTGACAGCTGTGTCCAGGGCCAGCTCCAGCTTACTTCAGGAAGTGAAAATGTGCTAAAGCAAGGCTGCTGGCAGAAGGCGTGGCCACATGGATTTCAAGTTGCGAGGGTACTCACGCGTCGTTCTCTTGGCAGAACTGACCGCAAACAGAGAGTACGCAGCTCTTTGAACACAGCTGCTAGGCACAAACTGCTGCTGGGGAAAGAGCAAGGAACCAAAGGATCCTTTGCGTGTTCATTTATTTATTTATTTGCTTGGTTGGTTTTTGTAAAGCAGAGTAGTTACTTAGCTCTGCTGTAAGTCATTATAAAGTCAATTAATTATCCTCCGTGTATTTAAAATATAGTACCAAACAAAACAAATCTGTAAAGTGGGAGATAGAGGTGAATTCTGGTTAGTTTTCAATGCCTAGTGATTTCTCTAAAGGCTTACTTATGGTGATGAAGTTCCATAATTTTCAGTCACCTCCACATAAATAATAGGAAAGTCAGAGTGAAAGGCAGTTTGCTAACTCAACAAGGAGAAAGCCCTTCTGTTACAGATTATAAAATAAAGTAAGATGGGACTCACCAGTAGGCAGAGTAAATAGAAGAGCAAGATCTTAACCCTAGTTCTGGGCTACCAGAAATGGAATTGTTCCTGTCTGAGAATAGTGTCGCCATAAGAAGTAAGCAGAGACCAGGAATAACCTGACTGAAACATGTCAGGATGGATTTTCTTTGTCTATAATAAGGTGAGGGTCCTGCCTCTAAGCTTATGCCTCTGAAATGGTGATGAATACACAAGTGCATCGTGAGTATTAACCCCAGTGTTTTACCTTGGCCATATTGGACATGAGGCTGTCCCTGTCTGACTTGGCTCATTTTGGAATGTGAGCCTTAGCCAAATTTGTCCAAGAAACCTAAGTAAGCAAAATGGAAAGACTCCAAAGTAGAAAGTGATTATTACTCATGTGCTTTTTGTTAACAAGAATTGTAAAAGTACCTTCCTGGAGAGTCTCCATTTTCATCAAACAGGATCATATCTCCAGAAACTCCAGTAAAATTGGTTTTCATTAGGGAGTCCAAAAGTTTCCGCCCGTCAATTGGCTTCATGGCATCACAGAGCCCTGCATAGCCTGGGCACAGGGACATCTGCATGTTGTGGAGCCCATAAGCCATAGAATAAATTGCATTGATCACAAATCCCATTTTGGAATCTTGAACGTGATGTGTTCTTAGAGTCAGAGAACCTGTTGAGAAACAAAGAAAGAGTTAACGTTGAAATAATGCCCAGTTCTGCTCCCACAGCCACATCCATAGATCCTAAATATTTAGAAAGATCTTGCTGCATTCACAACTGAGGAGCACACTAGGAAAAGGTGATAACATGGTTTTTCCTAGCTGTTCTTGATCACTTGTGGGTTTTGTTTCCAAACCGTGAAGAAAGATGAAACTTCTTAATTAGATCAAGACTTGCCTTCTCCAATGACTTAACTCAGAATAGCACTGTATTTCCATGTTACCCATTTACTTAAATGTAAAATTAATTGCCCTAGTCATCTATAACACTGTACCTTCCTGGCTCAAAAGTACTTAACCTATCTTCATTTCCCACCGAAAGAACTAGATCCTGTCATATTTGGTCTCCATTATACTTACTTGATAATTTATAAATCACCTCCTCTAGTCTCAAAACTATAAATCATTGATTCAATCAAAGTTTATGATATCAAATCATACATGAAGTTGAGTTATTGGTGAGTAGTGGGGACACAGTGGTGAATTAAGTATAGATTTGAAGCCAATAAAACTTGTCCTATTGCTAATGGCCTGATTTATGTCTTCATATACAAAATATAATGACAAGGATACATTTGTTCTTCTTTATTATATTTTAATGAACTCTATTTTTTTTCCTCATTCCCCTCTCTTTTTTCCCCTCCCCTTCTACCCTCTCACATGATCCTCACACTCCCAATTTACTCAGGAGATCTTGTCTTTTTTTTTAACTTCCCATGTATAGATCCATGTATGTCTGTCTTGAGTTTCTTTTTGTTGTCTTGGTTCTCATGGATTGTGAATTGCAAGTTGATTTTTTCTTTGCTTTATGTCTAAAAGCCACTTTTGAATGAGTATATATTATATAGATCTTTCTGTGTCTGGATGATCTCACTCAGAATGATGTTTTCTAGATCTTGTTCTTAATAGATGCTATAGATTGTACCAATGAATCTATGTCTAGTGCATTTTTAAGTATTATAAATAAGCAGAAGGAGAATAATATGTCAGTCATGAGAAACAAACAATGGCAAAAATATATGGTTTAGGAGTGTTTCCTGATTTTCAGTAAGAACTTTACCTTTCTATATGAAAAATAGAACAAAAGTGGGAGAAGTGGTTCAATTTAAAGAATTCTGTTACAGGGTACTGAGAGATCTGAGTGGTGTATTCTAGTTATGTTCTGAATATATCAGAAGTAAAAAGTCAGGATGGCTAACAGATTGGAAGCTTCATGTGCTCCCAAGTATTTTAGAAGAAGAGGAACAGAAAATGAGTTTTGTGTTAAACATGGATAGGTTAGAAAATCATTAACTGACAAGTGAAAAATGAGTTGGGTTTGTGGAGATTAAAAGCATAAGGCTTGAGTTATTAAGCAGGGAGATGGTGCTTTGTTTAGGATGAAAGCACTTGAAAAGAGGAGGCAGGTTCAGATGCAGACACATTTTGAAATTAGAACAACCAAAGTTAATTGTTGGGTCTATCTTCATCAGATAACAGACTCCTTGTTAAGTTCCTGATTCATTTCCAATATGTCAAGTGTCATGTAAGTGAGGACTTCTAAAATCAGTGCAGTATCTTCTTCAGTATTTTACAGATATTGACTCCATTCATCCTAATTACTGCCCGATGGGATCTATACTATGTTTTGATAGAACAATGAATTAGTTTCTCTATTGTTTCACGGCAACTAGGCAGTAGAAACAGGGTTTATATCTGGACAGTCTATCTGGATTTTATCCCAGGGAGATAAATGTCCTATGGCTTTTGAAACTTAAATCCCATGGAGCATTCAGAGACTTCCTGGAGCTTGTCAATCTTAAAGATAAAAGTTGATGCCGTTCTGTATTCCATTCAACATGTCACACCCTTCTGTATTCCTTTAATGCATTTATTTTCTCCTATTCTGACTCCTATCACAGGATTTTGAAATGTTTTAATTATTTGAATATATTTATATTTCTCGATTCAAAATCATAGTGAAAAACTTTAAAGACAATAACATGAAAACAACCCTCTTGCCCCTAGACAGTCAATATTTCTTTCAAGCAGAATTCTCTGTACTTAAAAGAGATAAAATATTCTTTATTGTTTCTGTAAGACTTTATTAGTTTCATTCATAAATTAGAAAATAGATGACATTCCATAAATGGTGATGTGCACATATAGTTTTCCATACCCTGTTTTTATACTGTACTGTGGAGGTTGATTTCCTTTCCCTGTGGCTATGTATGTGGTTATTACATTATCTAACTGGCTAAAAAAAATATCCTGCTATGCTTATATAATGCTGGGTGGAGTACTTTATTTTTTTGCTCATATCACTAAAACTAATTTTTATTGATTAAATTTTTTCTTTGATAATTTCATATATATAAATAATTCATTCTTATTACTGTCATTTGCACCCTCCCTTATTACCCATCCTCACCTGTCAACACTGCCCTTTCCCTCATAAAATACTATCTAGCACATTCCTGTTTTTTTTAAGTAGATTAAGTCTGTTCTTTGACAATGCCACTGTGTTTGCTATCACCCTGTACATCTTTGACCCCCACATCACTCTCCCTCATCAATACAGGTCCCTTCTCCACATATATGACCTGTGTCATCATACTAAATATCTTAAACCAAATTGCCTCTTTGCAGTTTACTTTTACCTTGGCTTTAAGGCTAAGCAATTTTTAATTGCTCTGCTGATTGCCTTTAATTGATTTCCTGACACTTTCGATTTCCCAAGCTTCTACATTAGTCACAGATGCTGTCTTTGTAACTTATCATAGAACCTGACACGTGAGTGGTACTACTAACTAAAGATGAGTGTGTGAATTAGGCCAGATGAATGACAGGACACCCCCACAAGTGTCACTGTGTTCCAGGTCCAGTCTTCAGTTTGTCAGCTCAGATTATTCGTGAACTCATTCTTTTGTAGGATAGAGCTCATTTCTTCCGTGGAATGCCGTGAAAATCATTACTTAAAACTAAGACCAACCTCTTGACGGGACCCGTGTGTGATAAATACACAAGACTGTAGAAGCTTTGAAAATGGAATTAGTAATAGAACCACAAGCCAGAGAAATCAGACACAAACTTACAGATTGGGAGCTAACCAGGTTAGCTGCTTTCTTCTTCTTCCTCCCCCACACCTTTCTCTCTTTACTGTCTTTCCCTGTTTTCTCACCTCCCCTTCTTCCTTCATCAGGCTATAAAGTCCAGGCTGGACTCAAAGTCAGGATCTTTATACCTAAACTTTTGACTTCTGGGATTACAGGTACGTATCACTACATTTCCACATTTTTAAGTAAATATTGTTCATGAAATTTAAACATCATCAACATTATATAATATCAAATTTGAAATGTCCAAAACATGGGCTGTTATTAAGTGGGAGAAAACTAAGCCTTATAATCATATAGTTGTGATATAAAAGTCTCACCAGTATTTCATGATCTTCTGTTTATATTTCTAAACAATGTGTTTTTGTTTGGTCTAATAGTCATTCTTCAGCTGTTTTAGTAGAACTTAGAGAGTTATAGTTAATTCTTTTGCTGTTGCTGCTTTGGATCTAGGGGGAATTTCTTCTTTATTAGTTCTTTAATTTATTGACTCATTCAAAATGATTAAATTGCTTATTATAAACTCATGTATTTAAGTCTACATTGCATTCCAGAGTATTGCATGCTGGTAATACAAAAATGAAAAAGATAAAATCTTTGTCCTCAAAAACAATAAGAAACTCAACATCTGAGCTATAGACACAGTGACAGATGCTTGCTAGGAGCCAAAGGTTCCAGTTTTATTAAGCTAATTTCAATGACCTGAATTCGTATAATAAAAGGATTCATTTTATTCCAACTCCTTTTCTCATTCAGTAAGCTGTAGGAGGAAAAGGGCATATTAATTACCTCACATGATGGTAAGCCAGAGAATTGGACTCCTTTAGCAATGTTGACTTACCTCAAGACCAGACCCAGCTTGGCATGAGGTTCTGTGCTGACCCAAACTCGTCAACTATTTATAACCATCTTTGAAGGTGTAATAAAAGCAGACAAGGGCTAAACTTTCTTTCTATTCTCTTTATTCTACACTGAATCTTGATATGCAAGCTTTAGTATTTAGGGCCAATTTTATCAGTATAGAATCAGGTCAGAAGTCTCCAGAAGGATTATCAAATACACAAAACCTCCAAATGGTGATTACAAATTTAATTTTGCAGTTCACAGAATGTGGTCTTTAGTTTAGTGTGTGTTCAACAAAGAAAAATAAAACTATAATAGGAAGGTGAAATCTGAGAATGTGTTCGATATCAGGGACTTGAGAGAGCACCTATCTAGTCCCGAGGACAAGGAAAGGAAGTCTCCGGTTGAAATTGTGTTTAGATATAGACGGAGTGGCTCAAGTGCTAGTTTATAGACATTGCAAATGACCAGCTTTGTATACTCCTAAAAACGAAGTTATAACCGTACTTTCCTCATTCTCACCCAGTGAACACCAACTCTCTCCATTTTTATGACATCTCCTTAGACTCTGAACTCATTTGAGATTGCGTCACCTTAGTTTGGTTCAACACAGTTTAAGAATGAGGAAAATAAGACCAAAGGATGAAGGAGAACGTCCCCAAGAATCTTTGCCTCCTAATTCTTTAAATTAATGGAAATTCTATTTTCATGTGAGAATCAAATTAATTATAATTTTATAATTTTTTTTATCAGATTAGCTCATAATTCCGTGGTGAAGAAATGAGCCAAATATATTTTAAAGTGGCATGCTAATTTTTTATATCTGTTCTTTTTCTAAATATGGGAACACTTCCATATTGTTCCTATGACTTTCTGTCTACGAACCAGTAAGGAGAAATAAAAGAAGAACTTGGGGGAGGACAGGAAAGCATGTTCAATAAGGTAATTGAAAGTCTTGAGGGTGCTACCGGATAACACAATGTAGCCTTATAATAAAAACATTGCATAGAAGC